ACAAAGTTGTTTTGTTTTCTTGTTTTTTGTTTTTAATTGTCAGAGGTTTCAATAAACACAATTTTCAATTATTTCATGGTTTCAGCTTTACAGGGTTAAAGTTCAGGCTTTGCTGAAGAATAAAGGCCGTCATATTAAATATCGACTTTTAAGCTTATTAGAATTGGCCAAAATTTTTTTTTGCTTTATATGCTTTTTTTCCGTGATTGCTTGAACATATTTGAAAACATTTCTCCACCTCTTTCCCATTTTCCTAATGAAGCGTGGCTCAAGTGTTTTGCACAGCACAGCAAGTTATCTTTATGTAGCACAAACTGACTCAGCAATATAGTCTTTTAATTTAGACATCATTGAGGTTAAGATTCTTTTTTTATTTCATTTTCACCTCCTACAACAGGATTCAAAATAAAGATGAAAATCCAAGTAAATTTCTTTTCCAGAGAATGTGAAAAGACCTGCTAAATCAAAGGGTTCATCTGGTTTGCATAGAGTGATAATTAAAAGAAAAATATATAATTAAAAACAAATAGCGGGGGGAATTAACTCTATTTGTTTTCTCTGTCAGCAAACGTAGTTGAAATTTCAGTAGCCATTAAATATGCATTAACACTTAACAACAGTTTTTACTTCACCAAGAGTTATTTAGAAAAGCATACTATATAGGACACTGGGTATTGTTCATATATAAGAAAATTATTGCCAGCTCTGTTGAAACAACCTTGAAATAGTTGTCGACAGATTTTAATATGTTGAAAGTTTTGTTGATGAGGAGCTTTTCCAAGCAGAGCTATACTCCACACTAATGCGATGCCTGCTCCTGTTGTTCTCTGTGGTTGTATTAGCACAAGTAATAAGATAATCGAAGCCTGTTTATTGCAGTGGCTTGGTCTTAACGACTGTGTTTGTTTCAGGTCACTGATTGAATATACTCTTTATTTCATTATGACTTTCCTTAACACCCACAAGACATCGAGCCCCGCTAATCAAATGTCTGCTAACTGAGAGTTTTTCCCTTTTTTGTCGTTTCCTTTCTCCTTTTTGCTTTCTCCATTTTTCAGTTTGTGCTTCACTTGTTTCACTCTTCTTTTTCTCCTGTGTCTCACTGCTTTCATACAACATCTCAAACAATTTCTGTCTTTCCACCTAATGGAAGCTGAAGGGAGACAAAATGATGCCATCATCAAGCATGCTTTATATAACAGTCGTGCCACTGTGGCACTCCTTGTTGTGACACAGCTTCCCACTGGCCTAATGTCTCTCTCCCCTTCTTGAGTTACCTCTCCAGGGACTTTTGCCAGAGTTGGGCCAGAAATTCTGACCCAGTATCATATTTTTTAATCTATAGACATATTGTCTTTGTGCCTGTGCCCATATGGCCGATTTCATATTATTCAATTTTCAGTTCAATTAAAGAGAGCAACAGAGAAAGTGAGAGAGAGAGAGACAAATCAGAACAACAACAGTCACCTCCAGATGCTTTATATTTTAAGGTACAGATCCTAGAATATTAGGGAGAAAATCCAACAATCAAACGAGACTCTTTCAGGAAGCACTTGACGACAGTGGGAAGGAAAAACTCCACTTCAATAGGAAGAATCCTCCTGCAGAACTGGGCTAAGGGAGGGGCAGTCATCTGGCACGACAGGCTGTGGATGATATGAGGAAGCCAGAATAACAGACAGACTGTAAACAGAGCCAGAGATTCATGATTACATGCAGTGTGGTGTGGAAGCACATAGTGACTGAAAAAGGTCCACCCACTGTATCATGGGAAGCCCTCAGTAGCCATGACCTATTGCAGCATTACTCATTCAGGTTCACTTGATCCAACCCTGACTATATGCTTTATCAAAAAGGAACATTTTAACCCTAATCTTTAAAGTAGAGAGGGTGTCTGTCTCAGTGAATCCAAACTGGGAGCTGGTTTCACAGAAAAGGAGTCTGAAAGTGAAGGCTCTGCCTCCCATTCTACTTTTAAATATCCTGGAACCACAAGTAAACCAGAAGTCTGCACGGGAAGTGCTCCACTGGGACAATATGGTACTATGACATCTTTAAGATGGATGGTACCTGATTATACAAGGCCTTAACACAAGGATTTTAAAATTGATTCTGGATTTAACAGGGTGCCATTAAAAAGAAGCTAATATGGAAGAAATTGGCTCTCTTTTTCCAGTCCCTGTCAGTATTCTCATTGCAGCATTTTGGATCAATAATAACGAATTACAATAGCCAGCCTAACAGTTATAATCATTAAACATTTTCTCTTTGGATTATGGGAAGAAACTAGAGACACTCAGATAAAACTTGCACAAGGCATAGACTCTTACTTCAGTGCAACAGCACAAACCGTTCTTGCTAAAATGTTACCAACAAAATAGAAAGGAAGAGGAAGTTTAGTTATTTATTCATCAGTTAACTCACTCAAACATTGCTCACTGAGTGTGCACAGATGCATATGGGGATGCTGCAGGTGAGGTAGACCACTGTGATGGGACAGAGAATGAAAAGTATACTTTTTTTGCAATTTTCTGATATTTTTACTGGGTGGTGTTGACCTTTCATGCTAGCCAGCTGTCCATTGGCAGGTAGACAGATTAATTAAGTGCAGCTCAATCAGTAGCAGATTCCTGGTGGACATTTCTGCTCATTAAATACCAAAGCCTGTTAGCTGTAGAAGCTGTAAATAGAGATTAAAAACAAAAAAATGCTGAGAGAGAAATAAGGGCTGAAAATTTCAAGAACGGTTTGATTCTTTTTTTAGCTTCTTACATATGTAAATGAACACCAACTGATGAAAGTAAAGAGTTATAACAGCCAAATTATTCTAACTATGAATTAATTTGGTTCATCAAAAGGGGTACATAGTTTGTAGAAACGCCGTTTGATTAACAGTGCTCTAAATGGGTGCTAAAAATGTTTTAACCTGAAAGGATATTTATTGAACATTTGTCTGACTTTGTTTTTCACATTTTATACAACCGGGTAGGAAATTGCAATTAAATCCAGGCATGAATACATCAGCATTCATCAAACATTAGATGCTTCAGCTTTCTGCCTCTGTTCCTCTTTTTATATGCACCCTCTAATTTTGCTTGTAAGTTTGATCCATTATTGCATGAATATTCTGTTGTTGTGTTGTGGCAATGATTCTTACTTTATGCACTGAACCCTGCAAAATCACAGAAACATCTGTTTATTTGCTTTTGGCAGGCTGTGTCTTCAAATTTCAATATATGCACATGTAAATCTTTTCATTTTTAGATGATCAAATTGACACAGACCACTAACTTTTAAACACTAATGTCTACATTCTGTTGGGAATATGACTGGATTCATCCTGAAGGACTGTGTTAGATTTCTGATCAAATGACTGTGTGATTTGTTTTGGACTTTTGATGCCGCCTGTGAGATGCTGCATAGCACGCACCCACAAACCCATTATTGTTTTTCTCTCTCCCAGCCTCACTTCACTTCAATTCAGTTTCAGCTGGATCAGATTTATTGACAATAAAGTTCTGAAACAATTTTATCAAGAAGTGCAGTATAATGTGTTTCTGTCTCACTTTTTTTGTCCTCACAGTTTAATATAGTCTAACTGAATTCACTTCAGTTATTGTGGTATATAAGCATGAACGTTATAGAAACAATATACTCAAGGTCGGATCAATAATAAAAAATGTATTTTGTCTCTCAATAATTTTGATTATCTCAGCTTTTTTTGATATGTAGTGAGCAAAACCAACTATTAATAATAG